TTTTACCCTATTTTTTTTTCTCTCTCTCTCCCCGTCATTTAATTTTTCTCATATTTCTCTCTTTGTCTGTTCTTCTCTACATTTTCTTTTTCCACGATTTCTTTCCCACATTCAAATTCTTACAACTTTTCATCAAAAAAATTCTTTTTTTTTTATGTTAAAATCATTTTTTGTTCGATTGTTTCGTTTTTAAATAAAACTTTGTAATAATAATAATGAATGTTTTAAGGCACTCTCAATGTGTAAAACCTGTACAGGTAGGTATAAGATAAAAATTTTAAAAAAAACCTACATAAAATTATTATTATTATTTTTTTAGAGTTTTTTTTTTGTCTGAGAGAATCTCAAGTTTAAAAAAAAAAAAATTCAATTCCATACTAACATTTTTTTTCCTTCTTGTTGTTTTATTTTCTTCTTTTTCTTCATCTTCTTCTTATTATTATTTACAAACGAAAAGTTTATATATATAAGAAGAAGAAAAAGAGAAAAAAAAAAGAAAACAATAATTTAATTTCAGATCACGATTTTGAAGACCATTTCGATAGCTTTTGAATTCGGTTATTATTAAACTTTCATCTCAAATCTTTCTTTAAATTTTTTACAAAATTATAAAAAAAAAGAAGAAAACAAAAATAAAATAAAACAAACGCGTGGCATTAGAAAATTAATCGGAATACGATAAAAAAAAAAGAGAGAGAGAGAGAGAGAGAAAAAAAAAGAAAGTAATAATCACTTCCGGTTCTACGACGATTCGAAAAAAATTTTTTTTTTTTTTTTCGGCGACAAATTTGCATAAAAGTAATTTCGCGCTTTGATAATCGCATTTAATAAAAAAAAAAATTTTTTTTTGCTGTTGCTGTTGTTGTTGTTTAAACAATAAAACCGGAAACGATAATTTTCGAAAATAAGAAAAAAAAAAAAAATGGTCGCTTCGGGTCAAACGAATATATATGTAAAAAAAAAAAAAATTTATTTCGAAATTAAAATGGCGGAGACTTAATAATAATAATAATAATAAAATTTTTGATTAACAAAAACTAAACAACAGGAAGTTAAAAGAAGTTTGAAAACGAAAAAAGTAATTTCCGGTTTTTTTTTTTCGAATCGGTCGAATCGACGCAAAAAATTCGATGATAATAATGATGAGAAGAAAGGGTTGTGACTTCGGTGAGAAGAAGGGGAGGGGAGGGGAGAAAGGGGGGAAGAAAATCGGAAAAGGAGAAAATTCGAAAAAAGGTTTTTTTTAATTATTTAAAAAAAAAAAAACGTGTGCGTGTTTGTTTGTTTGTTTTGCGTGTACGCACGCGTGTTTATTGATACATATATCAATTAGATTTTGTGCGTGACGTTTTCGTGACGTTATGACGTGAAAAAGTTTTTCTTTTAAGGTTGGCTACCTCCCCGTGTTTTTTTTTTTTCTTCCCGTTTTTTATTTTACTTATAAATAACAAAATCCGTTTCGGTTAAATGTTTTTCCTCTCTCTATCTCTTTCTTTCTCTTTCTTTTAAAAATCAACTTTTTTCTTTTCTTAACTTTTTCAACTGATTTTTATTCTCTCTCTCTCTCTCTCTCATCGTTTTTTTCTATCAAGAAAAAAAAGAGGAAGAAAAACTTTTATTTATTTATTTATTTTTTTCTTTCCCCCCCGCCTTTTCCTTTTCTTTTATTGCCTATAAATTTGCGGTTTCCACTGCTGACACTTTTTTTTTCCGGTGCTTGAACTTATTATCATTATTATTATCATTATCATCATTATTTCTTTTCTCTCTCTCTCTCTCTCTCGTTTCTCTTAAATGACCGATTATTATCATTTAATTTTCGATTTTTTTTTTTTTTTAATTGAAACGTGAGAAACTTTTGTGAGACAAAATTCGCGAAAATATAAATTCGGATTTTTAAACCGTTAAAATTTTTGGCGGGAATTTTTTTTTTAATAATAATAATAATAACAACGAGAAAAAAAAACGAAAAACTCGCAAAAAATATTTTAAATAAAAAAAAAATTTGCACGATTGAAATACTTGATCCGTTACTTCCTCACGCGTTTATAAGGTCAAATAAAAAATAATAATAATAATAATGATAATAATAATAATGATAATGATAACCTCAATTAGGTGTTAAGAATGATAATGATGATGATTTCATTTCAAGTTATTTAAATTTCAAATTTTTATTCGATCGTTAAAATTTTTCGTCAGGTACAAACAAGTTTGAAAATGTGCAAAAAAAAAAAAATTTTTTTTTTTTTTAAACGAAAACCCGTTCGACCCCTCCCTTATCCCTTCCCCTCACTCACCCTCCCTCCCCCCAGAATCCAGAGTCACGTAATTATTTTTTTTTTTATTTCGACTTTTACGTTCTGGAATTTTGGCAGGTTTAAAAAAAAAAAAAAAAGAATAAAAAAAAAATTGGCTCGAAAACAAATTTAAACACACACATCAATACGTAAATAAATAAATATTACTATTATTATTATTATTATTATTATTGTTATTTTTTTTTAAATGATTGATGTTAAATCGTTACGACGAAATCTTACTATTGAAAAAATCATAGTACGTGCTCGCAACCACCACCACCAATATCGGCACCATCGACATCACCGGCGGTCCCCCCGCCATTTTATCAGATGACATTTTCGTATACTACCTGTTTACATTATCAATTCAGGTTCGACGGACTTCGTACATGATTTCCTATCATCGCAAACGATAAAAACATTATTTATTAAAAGGTGAGAAAAAATTTTATTTATTTATGTTCATTCATTCATTTTTATTATTATTATTTTTTTCTTATTACTCAAACACATAATACAAAAATAATAATAATAATATCGTCACAATAGAGAAAAAAAATGGCGGCGGTGATAAGTATAAACGATTTTTTTATTAACAAAAAAAAATTTATTTATTTTCGTGACAAATTTTTTTTCGATTCGTTTTTCTTTTCTTTTACTCGGCGTGACGCCGCCCGACGACGATCATACGTTATCATCATCATCATCATCATCATCGTTATCATTGTAATCGTTATCGTTATCGATTTTCGGTAAATTTTGAACGGTTTACAAAAAAAAAAAATCCTCTCGAATTAATTTTACGTATAATTACGTATGAAAAACTATTAAGTTCGGATAAATTAAATTAATATCATTATTATTATTATTATTATCAGTTTTCAAGTTTTTCGGGAGATTTCCCATGGAATTTTCCATAAGAAAGGTTTAAACCGATTCCACGCGAATAAATTTCTCAATATCGGTGGTCGTTCGTTTTCTCGCACTCAATTTAAACTAATCAAAATTATTATCATCATCATCATCATCATTATCATAATCATCATCATCATTATTATTATTATTATTATCGCTAAAAAAAAACGTTGTCACCGCCATTTAATAAAACAATCGTTTGTTTCGTAATTAATAAAACATAGATGTTTTCTATTATAAACTATGAAATTTCAGGTTTGTTTGGTTGTTTGTTTGATTGCTCGTTCGGTTGTTTGTTTAATTAATTGTTTGTTTGTTTGTTTGTTTGTTTGTTTGTTTCGTCATTACAATTATTTATTTTTTAATAATTATAAATCATTTGATTTAAAAATTTAAAAATTAATTAATAAACGAAAAAAAAAAAATTTTGATAAACGATTGTAACTCTAAAAAAAAATAATAATAATAATAAATATGGCGACAAACTTTCCACGCCGCCAACCGGAAACGGATACGACTAAAAAAAAAAAAAAAGAAAAAATGACTTCTTTTTATATCATTCATACATTTTCGTCTTTTAAATTTTACTTTTCCATTTTTTCCCTCTTCCCCCCATTTTTTTTTATTCCCATTCCCATCATTTTTTTTCTTCCTTTACATTCCTCCACAATTTTTCATTCCTTTCCCCCTCCCCCCCACTACGATTCCCGTTTTCATTACAACAATTACTTAAGTGGATTCCCTTTTCGTTACGGGATTCGAAAAAAACCCGTTAAAAAAACGTTAAACGTACGCTTATTATTATTATTATTATTATTATTACTATTATTATTATTATTATTATTATTATTATTATTATTTATTAATTCAAATAATAATAATAAAACGATTATTAATTTTCATTATTATTATTATTATCGTTTGTTTGTTTGTTCGCTCGTTCGTAACCGTATTTAAAAATTATTATTTAATTTAAATGCTGTCGCATTCAGAAAAGCGTAAATAAATTTTTTTTTTTTTTTTTAAATAAATAAATCATAAAAGAAAAAAAAGAAAGAAAAGGTTAAAGAAAATTACAGTTGAAAGGTGAGTGTGTAGAAGGGGGGTGAGTGGGGGGGTGCGTGAACCCGAAAAAGAATAAAGAAAAAAATGGCGGAGGGAAAGAAGGATTAAGGGTATTTGTGACGTTTACGTGAGAATTCGTCCTTTATTTTTTACTCTTTTTTTCTTTTTGCTCAAAGATGCGTGAGTTGGGGAGGCGTGCGGGTGTGCGTGAGTGTGGGGAGTCCGTAAGCGTCAACGGAAAACGACGTGGAATTTGTTAAAATTAAAAACAAAACGTTCGCATTAAAATCCACTCATGATTTTTTAATCCGCGTATTCGTTAAGGGTTAATACCATAATCCGCCACCGTCATTACCGATGACGCCACCGTCAAATTTAAAAATGGCGGCCCGAAAATTTCGAAAAGAAAAAAATCGTTTAAATAAATAAATAAAATCATGTAAAACTCAATAATTAATTAGCAGCGCTATAAAATTTATAATTATAGCACTATAAGAAAAATTATAGTCGATTTAAAAAGCTATATAAATTTATCATATTGAAATTTAATTGAAAAAAAAAATGGCGGCGGCTTTCAATCAAGTGAAATCGTAACGGAAAAAAGCTGACCTAACGACACGTTCCACATAAATTTAGGTTGTTTGTTGTTTGTTTGTCGTTTCGCAAAACAAAACAATTAATTTCGTTTTTTTTTTTTTTTTTTACCGAACAGGTATGATGTCGCACGATAAATTACCATTATTTTTATTACTCGTCGCCATTTTTATGACGTCATCATCATTATTTGAAAAAGTTTTAGCAACGGGTGAGTGAATTCCCTTTTCTTTTTCTTTTTTCTTTTTTGATTTTTCCCGGGAAAAATTTTTTTTTTAACAGGACCGGGAAGAATAACTTGTTATTTTAGCAATTGGGCAATTTACAGACCGAATGTCGGAAGTTACAATACCGATGACGTACCTGGTAATTTGTGCACTCATGTTATTTATTCCTTTATCGGTGTCAGCAACGTGACGTGGGAAATTTTAGTTTTGGACGATGAAGTAAGTATAAAAAAAAATTCCTATTCTTCTGCCACTTCGTTTTAAAACTCAACCATACGAGTTAATTTTATTTATATCCTCTCTCTCTCTCTCTCTCTCTTTCTTTCTCTCGCCTGACTAAGACAAGTTAATCATTTAAATACATTTGAATTCATAAATTAAACTTTTTTTTTTTTATATTCCCGTCCGCCATTTTTCCTAAAAAAAAAAAATTCAAGTTTAATTTATTGTGAAATGCTATTATTATTATTATTTTGTTTTTTTTTAAAATAAACTTTACGAATTATTATTATTATTATTAAATTCAGGTATTGCAATCTTTTTTTTTTAAACTTTTTTAATTTTTTTTTTTTTAAATTAACCTAAATAATAATTTTTTTTTAAAAAAAAGTTTGTTAATTATATTTCTTATTACGGTAACAATTAAAAGAGAGAGAGAGAGAGAGACGAAGAGAGAGAGAGAGGGAGGGAGAGAGAGAGGGAGGGAGAGAGAGAAAGTTAAAATAAGATTTTTAGCATTGACAAGAAAAATGAAAAAAATGATGGATGTATATATTTTTTAAAAAAAAGTTTTTTTAGGGTCACGTGAATGGTGAAAAGGTAAAAGGTAAAAGGTCAAAAAACGAAAGAAAAATGATGATGATAATAATGATAATAATTACGGCGACTAAGTCGAATTCTATTTTATTTTAAATTATTCGCCATCGGAGAGTTATTCCCTTTTTTTTTTTTGTTTGTTTTGTTTCTTCTTTTAAGGTCGTAAATTTCATGTCCCCCTTTCGTTCCTTTCTTTCCTATCCCTACTTCCTTTCCCCTATTTCTACTTCCTTTTCGAATCTTTCTATTCCTACGAATCCCGAATTTTACCCGAAAGAAAAAAAAAGTTCATTTTCTCTCGATCGCATCAATCTTCGAAATCACTTATTTTCTTTTTTTTTTTTTTTTGTAATACATTGAAAGGTTTAAATTAATTGATGGTACTTTTTTGGGGGTAGAAGAGAGGAGGGAAGGGAGGGGGGTTTTTAGTCGTCCTTTTTTAGTGATTCAAATAACGTGGTTATTTTTTAGTTTTCTTGTATGATTCCTTTAACACGGTTTCCACTAACCCGATGATTAATTAATTATTTTGTTTTAACATTGTTTGCTTCTTTCCTATTAAAATATCATTGTCATAATAATAATAATAGTAATGAAGATGATGATGATGATGATGGTTGAGGTGATGGTGGTGGTGGTTATAACGATGGTGGTAGTGGTGATGCTGATGCTGATTTTAATAAAATAGTGCCAGGTGGTAGTGCTAATGCTGACGTTGATTATGATGCTGATGATGGTGGTAATGATAGTACTGATGATGATGATGATGGTTGTGGTGGTGGTAGTGATGATAATGATGATGATGAGGATGATGAGGATGATGCTTGTGACGATGATGATGAGGATGATGAGGATGATGCTTGTGACGATGATGATGAAGACGATAGTGGTGGTAGCGGTAGTGGTAGTGATGATGAAGACGATGATAGTAATACTTGCGATGATTATGACGACGTTGTTGACGGTTGTAGTAATGCTGATGATGATGATGATGATGGTGTTGGTGGTGGTGGTGGTGATGATGTTGATGATCATTATAATTAATTATTATAAAAACTATTTTTCAGAACGACGTAAAAAACAAAGGATTTAAAAATTTTGTAAATTTAAAAAAAAAATATCCAAAACTCCACGTGTCAGTCGCTGTAGGAGGTTGGGGAGAAGGAGGTAAAAAATATTCAGAAATGGTCAGCGTGAAAGCACGAAGAAAAACATTTATAAAAAGCGTCGTAGGTAATATATTTACTATTATTATCATTATAATAATAATAATAATAATTTTGATAACACTGACAGAAACTTTATTTATTTATTTATAAAAAAAAAAATTTCGATTGTGTTATTATTATTATTGTTATTTTTTTTCTAGAATTTATGAACGAATTTAATTTCGATGGATTCGATTTAGATTGGGAATATCCAGGTGCATCCGATAGGGGTGGAAAATTTTCCGATAAAAATAATTTTTTTTATTTCGTACAAGAATTAAGAAAATCATTCGATAGAGAAGGAAAAGGTTGGGAAATCACAATGGCCGTTCCCGTCGCAAAATTTCGTTTAAACGAAGGCTACCACGTACCTGAATTATGCCAGTTGGTTTAATCACGTGAATAATTTAATAAGAAAATAGAAAAAAAAAATTTTATTTCTTTTCCCTTCGAACCCCCTTCACCGTTCGATTTAAAATTTTTTTTTTTTTAGAAACATGAACGCCGTTCACGTCATGACTTACGATCTGAGAGGAAATTGGGCTGGTTTTGCTGACGTTCACAGTCCCCTTTATAAAAGACCACACGATCAGTGGGGATACGAAAAACTTAACGTCGTGAGTATAAATAATAATAATATTAACTTGTCATAGCGTTCTAAAAACAATTCGAAAAAAAACCGTTACGATTGATAATAATAATGATAATTGTTTTTTTTTCCTTTTTTTTGCCCGCTCGATTAATTTCTTTTTCCGAAAAGTTCTTTTTTTTCCACAACTTTCAAATCTTTTAATCCGCCAAAAAAAATTAAAAATGTCGTTCGTCACAATGATAATAATAATAATAATAATAATAATAATAATAATAATAATGATAATAATGATAATGATAACGAAGCAAAAAAAAAATCAATTAAAGATTTAAGTGCACGCATAAATTTTCTTTTTTTTTTCTCGTCCTCGTCGCCGTCGTTTTTGTTTTTGTTTCTACTGTTGTTTGTTGTTTGTTGTTGTTTTGTTTTTATATTTAAAATCCTTTTGAAAATCCTTCGAGTAAACAAATTTGTTTGTTGTTTTACTTAAGTAAAATTATAAAAACAAGTACAGAAAGTAATTTATATATCCATAATTTTTTTTTTTTTTCAAACAACAAAAACTTTTAAAAACTGACTTAAATTTCTTTCCCCCCATCCCTCCCTCCCTCCTTCCCTCATCCCGATTACTTAAAAAATCAATCAATCGTTCGATGATGATAATAATAATAATAATGATATTATTTTTAAATCGAAAAAAAAAAACAGAAAGTAGGGAAGGAAAAAAATTTTTTAAATTTCCCTGTAAGGTGATGATCGATTTATCGACGAGGAATCGTTTGTTTCGTTTGTTTTACAACAAATCAACTCGATTTAAAAAGAATTTTTTTTTTCCTAGAACGATGGTGTTCAACTTTGGGTCGATTACGGTTGTCCGCCGGAAAAATTAATTGTCGGTATACCATTTTACGGTCGTACCTATAAACTAAGTGCCGGTAATACAAATTTCAATTTGGGTACTTATATAAATAAAGAAGCCGGCGGTGGTGATGCAGGACCGTATACGGATGCAAAAGGAACTTTGGCTTATTACGAAGTTTGTTTTTTTATTATTTACTATCCTGTTATTTTTAATAATAATAATAATAATGATGATTGTTTTTATAGATATGTTGGGCTTTTAAAAATGAAGCGGATTGGATAGAAAAATGGGATGATGTCGGTTTGTGTCCTTATGCGTACAGAGAAAGGAATTGGGTGGGTTACGAAAATGAAAAATCGATACAATATAAAATGGATTGGATAAAGAAAAAAGGTTATGGAGGTTCCATGATTTGGTCCATAGACATGGACGATTTTCAAGGATTGTGCGGACGTAAAAATCCACTTATTAATTTAATATATAAAAATATGAAAGATTACGTGGTTCCAAAATCGAACGTTATCACGACGCCAAGGGTGAGAATAATTAAAATTAACCACGAATTTTTATTTATAGTAATAATAATAATAATAACCGATTTCAGCCGGAATGGGATAGGCCTCCTAGCACGACACCTGATATAGAGGAAGATATAACTACGACGAAAAAACCGACGACGACGATGGTTACAAACACATCGTCGGATATGGATTTCGATACTGCGACAGAGGATCAAACAACGACGCCACCTTACGCAACGATAATAACAACAGCGGAAACGACAACGGATAGTAACGAAGAAAATTACGTATTTAATTCAGAATGTTCAGAAGATCAAGATTTCATTCCACACGAAGATTGTGACAAGGTAAAAAAAAAATTTTCCACACCCAAATGATTAAAAAAATTTACCGATTGTTTGTTTGTTTGTTGCAGTATAAAAGATGCGTTTTTGGTAAACCTGTAACATTTACATGCAAACACAACACTGTTTGGGTACAATCACGACAAACGTGCGATTATTCATTTAATGCCGACAGACCTGAATGTAAACTGAAAAAAAGTAAAAAAATATTTTCCAGTACAAAATAAAAATTATTTATTTATTAATTTATGTATTTTTAATTTATACGTATATTTATATATATATATTTGTGAATAATAAAAAAAAACCGTTAAATTTTTTTTTTTTGAATTATCTAAATCCAAATCAATGAAAAAATTAATTCGGTGTTGGTGGATAATCCCAACATTCTAAACGATCCGCATTATAGGGAAAATCACATGTTTTAAAACTTTGAACCCAAACCGTACCTTCGGGACAATCGAACTTTACAGGTTTGTAATGGTCACACATGTAAAACTTTAATAAAAAATAAAATTTGTTATCACGAGTGCTGATAAGATTTAAGTTGGTGATAATAAAAATTTTTACATTACCTTGTCGCAATCGGGATGTGGAGTAAAATCACCACCGTTTCTACAATCTTCGACGGCACTTTCCGGTGGTACATCCTCAGGTTCGGTTGTCGGTTCTGGTTCCGTCGGATACCATTCGGTTGTTGTTGGAAGTTCTGTTTCTCCTGGGTAATCCGTTTGTACGGTCGTTGGTAAATCCGTTACGGATGGATTCGATGTCGATAATGTTGTCGAATCGTAACCCGAGGTTGTCGTCACTGGTTTTTGCCAATCCGGCTAAAAAAAATAATTTTTTATCATCAATACCAAAACCTACATGTCGCCACCACCTACGTAATTCTCTTTTGTATTCTTACACGGTCAGGAGTCGTTAAATTAGAATCAGGTACTGTGTAATTTTCAAGGCTTCTGTGTACGGCATTCAAAAGCGGATATTCCTTTCCGCAAACACCGTTAAAATCATCTAAATCCAAAGACCAAACCATGGCACCCAAATATCCTTTTAATTTGAGCCAATTCATTTTAGCCACAACGGATTCTTCGTTTTCGTAACCGACCCAATTGTGTCCTTTGTATGTGTATGGGCAAAGGCCTAAACGATCCCATTTTTTTGTCCAACCTTTTTCACTTTTGTGTGCCAAACAAATCTGCGGGAAAAAAAAGGCATAATTTTTAAAATCTCCATCATTAAAATCAAAATTTTGAAAAAAAGGTTCGACTCACTTCATAATAAGACAAAGAACCTTTTTCTTTCGTGAAAGGTCCAGCATCTCCACCGCCAGCTTCTTTATTTATCCACGTACCAGGATCTCGATTTGTATTACCAAATCCAAGATTATAAGTTCTTCCGTAAAAAGGTACACCGACTACGAGTTTATCACGTGGGCAACCGGATTCTTCCCACAATTGCATACCGTCTTTCTAAAAAATTGAATTTATCGTCCCGTTTTTAACTTCCGGTAGTTTCAACAGTACGAAATCATTTTCCTTATACTCACAACATTCAAATATTTAAATGCCCATTTATCGTGTGGTCTTTTAAAAAGAGGACTGTGAACGTCAGCAAAACCAGCCCAATTTCCTCTTAGATCATAAGTCATGGCATGTACGGCATCGACGAGTCTACAAACGGAAAAAAAAAAATTTTTTCTGGTATTTTCCAAAAAATAAAAATAAAAAATCAAGAAAAAAAAATTTCTTACTTGCATAATTCAGGTACGTAATAACCTTCATCGAGTCTAAATTTAGCAACGGGTACGGCAAGTGTCAAATTCCAAAATTTACCCTCCAAATCGAAAGCTCTCCTTAATTCTTCGACGAAATAAAAGAAATTTTGTTTGTCGGAAAAACTACCACCTCTATCGAGTGCACCTGGATATTCCCAATCGAGATCCAAACCGTCAAATTCGTACCTGTTTAAAAAATCTAGTACAAAAATTTTTTTTTTTTAATTAAAATAAATCATTTTTATGAAAATGAAAATAAAATTCTAGAACATTCTAAAACTCACCTACAACGCTTTTAACAAAAACGTTTCTTCTTTCTTTAACCGATACCAATTCCGAATATTTTTTTCCACCTTCTCCCCAACCTCCAACAGCAACGGAAACTCTTAAATCCGGATTTTTTGTTTTTAAATTTTTTAATTTTTCAAATTGATTGTTAGCAACCTGACACAAACAAACAAACAAATGCATGACATCATTCACGTGAATTATTTTAAATAATTCCAGACTTCTCCAGACTTACGAATTTATCCAGAACGTCAAGTTCCCACGAAGTATTGTTTAATCCAACAAAGGAATAAACGACATCCGTACATTTATCGGCTGGAATGTTTTCCACGTCGAATTTTCCTTTTCCTTCCCGATAAACCGACCAACTTCCATAATAACAAACGATTCTTTTTTTGGCTATAATTAATATCAAATTATTTAATGACTCCTCCTCCTACCCCCCCCCCAAAAAAAATGTTTGGTGTTAACGTACTTGCATCGGATTCGAAAAAGAACGAAGCAACGACAAACGTTAGAAAAATTAAAAATTCAAAAAAATTTTTCATTTTCGATGAAAATTTATTAACGTGCAAACATATTATTTACACACTCCAGTTTTATTTTATTTTTTTATCCAGTAATGCAAAAAAGAACAAACGACAGCGTCAGCGACAGCAATGGAAAATTTAAAACGATAAATTATAAAGGTTGGCTCTTACTAAAGATTAAATAAAATTTTCACAATTATTTAAAGTCCAGATCGTTTAAAGATTAGCACTGATAACGCGACGACAACAACGACAACGACAACAACAACCAAAAAAAAAAAATGACCGTAAAAAAAAAAAGATTTTTTTAAAGTATTCAGACAAATTTTATTATCAGTGAGTGTGATTGATAAGATTTATTCGTTACGAATCAAAAAAAAAAATATTTTTTTTCCTGATGTTCCTGTTTGTTGTTCGATAGTCTACAAACCCATTTGTATCGTTTGTAAATAGCAACAACAACCAAAACAATTTTTTTTTGCAATTTCATTCCAGCGGGGTAAAATTTTTGACAACATCGTTTGTCCAGCTGTGATGATAATTTTTTAGTTTTTCACGTCGGCAAATTAAACTAGACACTCCAGCGATTATTTAATAACCGCTTCAAATTCATTTCCATGCTTAAATTTGTCCAAAATTTTCCAGGACTTTCGAAATTCCAGGTTCGTTAATTTTTTTTTCAATCGAAAATTGTCGAAAAAAAATTTTAAACCGGCTCCCTCTTATAAATTTTACTCGATATTATTATTATTATTATTAATCATCATCGAATTAAATTTTAAACAGAATCATCATCATTATTATTATTAAAATTATCATTATTATCATCGATTAGCAAAAAAAAAAAAATAAATAAAAATATACGATAAAAGTAATAAAAAAAAAAAAAATTGCATGGAAATGTCGTCGTGTTATTTATTTATTGATAAAATTTTATTATCATCATCATCATCATTATTATTATTAATATTATTATTATTATTATTATTATTATTGATTGATTGATCGATAAAAAAAAAATTAAATATCACTACCGCATTACTTTTTTTTAAAGACAATTTATTATAGCGTCGTCGAAAAATCAGAAAATCATTTTTGTAAAATTTATTCAAATCGATTTTCCCGCGTTTTTATTTTAAAAAATTTTTTTCGCGCCATTTTTTTTAAATTTTCATTTTATTAAAAATATTAGCCACCGTTATGAGTAATGCATAAAAAATTAATCTTTAAACCTTATTTACGTCATCGTAATAATATTAAATTTAATCCTTTCAAATAATAATCGATGATGATTTTTTTAATTAAACAAATTATCGATCGATTGATCGATCAATCGATTTATCGAATCGATTTTTTCGATTTAAATAAATTTCGTCGTTATTTCTTTCACGTTGTAATTAATATGAATTAATCTCACACACACACGCACACATTTTTTAAATAAAAAAATTTTTTTTTTATATTTTAATAAATTATTAACGTAATTAAAAAAAATACTTTTTTAAAATTTTGTCGTCTGCTTTTTATGATAAATAAATAAATAAACAAATAAATAAATAATCTATCAATCATAGCAGTAAAAAATCATTTTAAAAAAAAAAATTCATTGCGTTTTCAAATTTTTATTAATTTTAACGCCTCGCAACTACATTAAACTATTTACTATTATCATCATCATCATTATCATTATTATCATTATCAGTATTATCATCATTATTATTGCTTAAAAACAAAAATCGTACGTTTGAAAAAAAAAAAAAAACGGAGAAGGAAGAAAAAGAAAAGAAAAGAAAAGAAAAGCAGACGAATGAACAACGCAATTTATTTATTTATTTTTTTTTTTAGCAGACGACAAAACGGAAATAAATAAATAATAATAATATTTTCCTTTTAAACGAAAGAATATCGAAGTTTAAAATCTAATCGAAATCTATTTTTCCTTTTGTTATCGATCGTTCCTAAATAAATTTAAATACCTTCTTGGAACCCAAAAAAAAAACAATTGTTATCTACAAAATTTTTTTTTTTTATTTGTTTAAACAAATAATAATAATAATAATAATTAAAATCTACTTTTTATTTATTTATTGATTTATTTACTATTATAATTTAAATTATGCGATAATAATAATAATAATAAACATTTTTTTCATTTTTTTTTTGTTTTTTTTTTCATAATTTAAAGTTTTTTATATTTATATTTATATATATATATATATATATAAAATATTTATATCGTCGTATTCGATAAGCAATGTACAGTAAAAAAAATTATTATTAATAATAATAATAATAGTAATAATAATAATTAAAAGTTCGCACACACATCATCAGTCGATTGACATAAAAACAAAAAAAATTTTCCCCCCGAAATTTTCATCAAATTTGATGATAAATTAAATTCATTGCTTTCGTTTTTTGGCACGTTTTTGGAAAAAAAAAAAAAAATTCTTCCAAGCAAATGATTGGAATGATTGACTGATTGATTGACTGACTGATTAATTCCGCTCCGGAATTTAAAAAAAAAAAAAAAACAAAAAAAAAAACAAAAAAAAATTCATGGAATTTTTAAATTTTTGTTCTTTTTTTCTTTTTTTTTTCTTTCTTTTTTTTCTTCGTGAAAATTTTTTACGTTTTTCTTTTTCCACGTCGCGTTTTTTTTTCTTTTTCGGCTAAGTAATAATAATGATAATAATGATAATAATAAATAAAAACCCTGTTGATAATTTTGAGCAAAATTGAATTTTTTTTTTTTAAATTTTTTTTAAATTTTTTAAATAATTTTTTCGTTTTTTTCTTCCCCCCAACACCGTCACCCGTCGTTGTTTCCCCCCATCATCATCATCATTATTATTATTAGTATTATTATTATTATCATCGCGAAAAAATGAATAAGAAAAAAATAAAATAAAAGCGACGCGATCGTTTAAAAACGTTTAAGGTTCAGGCACTTTTTCGTTTATTTTCTTTCTCTTTCTTTCTCACACGTCGTTCTCACATTTTTTTTTTTTTTTTTTTCACGTGAAAAAATTATCTCTCTGTTGGTAGAGTGGTAACGGTTGAACCGGAGATAAATCATCGTAATCTTGATCGTTGATAAAATTTTTTTCATCGTACGACAACGGAAGGGAAGCCATCGCTTTAACTGAAACAAAACGAAATAAATTTTTTTTTCCTCATATGACGTCACTTCCTGTTTAAAAATCACACTAATTTCTATATTTAAATGCAAAGCTGAGAATTATAAAAAACAAAAACATGCAAAAACTTATAAGCAAAATAAAATAAAAACAAAACAAAAGAAACAAACCTTTTTCTATGTTTTTTTTTTTTAAATAAAATTTTAATTTATTTAATTAACGTTGCAAAAGCTCCAAAACGTGGAATTTTGAATTCTCGCACAAGCACACACACGCACACACGCACACGCACACATTTAGCAACGGAAAAACATATTTAGCAAAGCTCTCTCTCTCTCTCTCTCTCTTTCTCTATTCCTGTTGGTGAGAGGATGCTGTTATCGAACCTACAGATAAATTATAATCAATCGCTTTTTGTTTACAAAAAAAAAAAAAAATTATAATATTTATCATTATTATCAACTAAAAAACAATAACAAAAACAAACAAACAAACAAATCGATAATAAATCGATAAATAAAACGTGCAAAATTGTGACAATTTTTTTTTTTTTATTTATTATAGTTTACCCGCGACTAATTTACTCTTTTCCATGACTTGTTGAGCGAGAATTTGATTCAATTCTAATAAATGTTCCCTTTGTTTTTTTTCTTCTTCCACTTTTTTCCTTATCGTGCAACTTTTCTTTTCTTCTTCCACGCCTTTTTTTTTTTGCAAAAGTTTTAAAAGAAAAAGAAAAAAGAAAAAGTTACCATTTTTTGTAAAAGAGTTTTATTTATTTAACGTTAACCGGAAATGAATTTTTTTTTTTTTTAAGTTGTTTACCTGTGCTAAGATCTGGTGTCGATAGTGCCGTCGTTTCCGATAACATTTTCCTTATGCTTTCCGCTTTTCTAAATCTTTGCATTTGTTCTTCCGCCGTGAGCGTGGGCTCTTGTTCCGGTATGTACCTCTCGGGTATCAATATTTTATTCGGAGTTCCCAATATGTTATCGATCGTGCTTTCGTTGTATTTTAAATCTTTGTGATTCATCGTCGATCTCACAACATCCGGTGCGTTCATCCTTGGCCTAAGAGCTCTTTCCATATCTAGATCGTCTCTCGATCTTGCCGAGCCCTGAGAACGAAACAATAAAAAATAATTGATTTTGACGAAAAAGTAAAAATGGGAAAGAAATGAGTAACGATGAACAAACAGCAACATGGTTGAGCAACAACAGAAAAGCACTATGCCAACAAACAAACAAACAAACAACCCGAAACACACATTTAGTACGTACCATTTTTGAAAATTGATTTTCGTTTTCCGTTACGTGTCGAATGTTCGACACGGTGTGATGTCGACGTTTTTCCTTTCTTATCTGTCTACGATTTCCCTGTCTCCGTACCGGATTTCCAGACATTTCCAAAATGATTTCTCTTGCTGCTTCGCTTTGGTAAACCGGCGACAATTGAGGACTGTTTTCATCGTTTAAATAATAATTGGATGATCCGAAAAGTTGTTCTCTCGCCGTCAACGGTCGGCAACCCTCGGAATTTTTCCCTTTTTTTTCATCGAACCTTTGATCTTTTTGATCCGGTTCGATTTTTAAACCTCTCGTGACTTGTGCCGGACCGCAACTCTCGTTCATGACGTACGATTTTGCCGGATCTGAACTTTTCTGATATAAACGACCACCGGAAGTGTTGTTGTATTCGCTCTGATTCGCAGAGTAAAGGTTGTAATTTTTACTCGGACTATCAACGCGAGGACTGTTCGGTCCGCTTTCGCTTCCGCTTCCTTCTTGATTATTTTCAAACTAATTTTCAAGCAACAAACAATACAATTAACAATACAGAAGCAAGCAAAAAACGATAAAGAAAACAAACAAACAAACAAGCACATGTATGAAGGAACGAAAAAAAAAAAAATGAATGCGGGAAAACCAAAATGGCTACCAAAAAAAAAAAAAAAAACATTTTAAATGTTTTTTTTATCCTCTTTTTGGAAGTACCGTTTTACAAAAAAAAATTGTTTGTTTAATGAAGAGGAACAACAAAAAAGCAACAACAACGACAACGACAACAACAAAATGACAAAACAAAAAAAAGAGATATAAACGATACTAACCCGAACTCGATTTCTTTTCGTCGTAACGTTTCTCATTTCCGGTGGTTTGTTGTCGTACCTGTTTGGTACGACGACGTTTTTACCAAAACCTCTTGGCAGCGACATTGATTTTTTATTTTGATTAATGCCGACGGACGACGGATCGGTGTCGACGACTAAAATTTCATCTCCGTGATTTCCCAAATTTTGAAACAGGAAATGATTTTTCGAATTATTGTAATTTAAATAAACGTCTTCATTGTCATCCGGTACCATTCCGTAATCTTCGAGTACTTCTTTTCCGGCGTACATCGAAGAATTGTAGACGGGATGATCGTAGGACGCGGAAGATTCTTCTTCGACTCTTCCCAATCCGTACCCGTCGTTTTCATCAATGACGGACACTCTTTTGGCAACGGCAACGTTTCCTATGGGTATACCAATATTTCCGCTTCTGTCTCGATCTCTTTGACGTCTCTCCGACTCACGTTTAACGATTCTCACAGTTTTTATTTCCTGTTTTTCCCGCGGTATGATTCCTGCATTAAAGTAAAATTCAATTAGCGACGACGTTGTCGATAATCGAACAAACGGTAATCCATCATCCGTTTGTTTTTTAATTTACCATAGAAACGTTTCATTCTTTCGTCTGCTTCACTCAGTTCAACCGGAGTGCAATACGATGATTTGTTTTGATTTTCTTCTTCGGACGATTGGAGTGTCGTCATTCTCGTTGGACTCCTCATACCTTCTTCGACGGCGGCGGCATCTGCAAACACACATAATTTTTTTTTTTTGTTTTATCATCGCAATTATTATTATCATTATTATTAAATAGATTAATAAAGTTACTCTGACTGACTGACTGACCCTTTTTACTCTCGGTGTTAATATACATGGGAGTTGTGCTTCTAGAACTTGCAGAATTGGCTGGTTGTTGCCGACTCTGCCGATTGGTAACTTGATTTTCAACTCCGACATCTTGCGTTATGAGCAAATCTAAATCTGTTTCTAACCAAGTCGCGCTAGATTTTTTTTTCCCTTTAAAACACAAATTTTTTTTTTTTTTATTTAAAACTCTGTAAAAATTTATCAAACGAAAATTAATTAAAACAACAAATGTGCGGGAGTGCGCGCGTGTTAAAAAGCGTTATAATCAAGCCGTCGGGGGGGGGGGGGGTAAACTCAAAAATGCTGTGGGGAAAATTTGACTCGAGCAAAAAAAAACTCAAAAAAAAAAATTGGAAAATTTCGAAATGTAATCATTCAAATATAATATCATGCCTGCACGCACCCACGTGTGTGCGGGTGTGCACGTGCGTTAAAAAATTATCAAAAAGGGTAAAAAAACAAACGAAAAAACTAAGTAATAATAATAATAATTGTTGAACATTTTTTTTATTTACCAGGTATGGGTCCAGCTCCGGCAACTCCCGTGGGACCAGGACGAATCTGTTGGACTAAAGTGTCATTTTTTTCAGTTAATTGTTTGACTTGAGCGCTCAATTCGTGCCTCTGCCTTTGCAGATCACCGACAAGTTGCTGAACTCTCCTCAGCTCAGCTTCCAAAGCTGCCGTGGTACTCAAAGTTGCAGACTCGGGTAGGAGAGGAACGGAATTTCTACTGTTGACTCTACTCGCTTGAAGTTTTTGACGGAGTATGACCAATTCTTGTTCCAACCGTGCATTTTCCGCGACCGTTTCTTCGAGTTTCTAAAACAAAAAAAAAAAAAAAATATGTCAGACGCGCCGAATGGACGGACATTTCCATTCCGAAAAAAAATATAGAATGTTCGTTCTATCACCTTTGAATTGTGTGCCAACAACAGCCTCACTCTGCTCAATTCTTTCTCTATCAATTTCTGCTGTTTCCTGTATCTGTCAACTTCGACCGGATTGCTCCGATTCACTTGTAATTTATGTCTCAAACCGCCCAAAGCTTTTTCCAATAATTCTTTGTCTTGTTGCAATATGTGAAGAGTACCCGATTCTTCTTGCAAGAGTCGATCGAGTTTATACAACTGTTGAACTTTTGCCTAAAAAAATGTTATCATTATTATTATTACTCCTACTACCAGACGAAGTTTTGACAAGTTTTCCGTGTCACTAGATCGGGAAAAAGCTTGCAAACCTGTAGCTGTCCGTGATCCGAACTCAACCTGTCCCAGTCTCTCCTTTCTTCCGCCAACAATCTTTGCTCTTGTACTTTTTGATTGAATTCTAATTTTTCTCTCACCGTCGGACTGTCTTCGAAACCCAAACTTCCGTTGTACACGTGATTGTTTCCTTTGTAAAGAGATCCTAATTTGACCATGTTGTCGACTAGATTAACTAGGGGTTTCCCCTTTTCGTATTGTTTTTCCAATTCCAACAAATGTTTTTTTAACTTTTCCAATTTTCTTATGTGTTCCATACGTTTCGGAGTATCCAATTCCGAGAGTCGAGCCTACAAATAAAAATTCCTTATTATTACCATTAATAATTGTTTGTTGTATTGTTTTTTAAATAGATAGAACAAACAACAACGACAACAAGGAAGAAAAAAGAAAATTATTAATGAAAAATTTTGAAAAAAAAGCAATTAAACAGTTAATTTCACACCTAAAAACCCAGAAAAATGTTATGTTGCCAAAGTCACGCATCGGATAATCCGTTACTAATGAGTAACAACAACCACAACAAACGTATCGTTTGTTGTTTGTTAGTTTTTTTTTTTTTTTTTTGTTAAAAAAATAGAAGGAAAACCGTTCGAGTGTGAAAGAACTGAACGTGTATTATGTTTGTGTTAGTTCGGTTAGTTTGGTTTAGTTTGGTTTAGTTTTTTTTCTTGACCTGTTCTTCGATTTCGATGTGACACGATTCCATGGCTTTACAAACGCTGGCACTTTGTCGCCTCAACTGTATGAGCAACAAAACGAGTTCTTCGTGAGTACGACCTAACAATTCACCCGCTGATACGTCTAAACCCCAAGGATTCGTGGTTGTTTTCTGATTGATTCGGGTGGGAAATCAAAAAAAAAAAAAAAAAAAAAAAATTATTTCTTTCTGCATCCCTACCTTCCTTCCTTCCCCTTCTCTCTCATTCATTTTCTTCAAACCTTCTCTCTCTTTATCTCTCGGGAGGGAAATTTTTTACCTTTTTCACGACGTTTTCTTTTCCGACGTAACGTCCGTCTGACATTTCGATTCCTCTCGACATCGGTGAACCACCGCCGTGAACAGATTGTGACATTCCTCCCGTGGTTTTGTTTATTGGCAAAGATCCGCAATTTCTCGAATAACCTCCACTCGACCCAACCCCTCCTCCTCCTCCTCCTCTTTCTCCCATTTTTCGTTCTTGGTATTGATCCACGTAATAATTTATATCGTTTAGTGATTTTCCTCTTTCCGAAGAGTTATTAATAAGATTACCATCTGTAAAATTACCGGGTTTTTCGATGAGCGAATTCGTTTTTTACCATCGGAAAAAAACCGTAACGTTGTTATCGATAACGGTAAGTTATTAACGAAAAAAAAAAAAATTTTCCATTTTATCACTCGTTCGAACCCCCGTTTTTTTTATTACCCGTTAATAAAATAATAATAATAATAATTTTATCGACGCTCGTAATAATAAAAATAAATAAAAAAATAAATTTATTTATAATCGATATCGTCGCGTTTCACAAAATTGTAAAAAATGTAAAAAACAAACCTCCGATCAAATCTCCTCTTTTTCCAGAATACGACGTTCCATCGTTACGTTCTCCATAACCGCCGATACCACCACCGACGCCGACGCCGACGCCACCATTTAAAGGTGATAAATAATTTTTTGAACGTTCGTAATAATCCGCGACGACACGAGGATCGTTGTTGTGTTGTTCTCCAAAAGGACTCCTTCCGGTTTGATTATTTATATTTTCGTCTTTCATCATCATCATCATCATCGCGGCCGCGGCCGCTGCAGACGACGACGGAGATGATGATGATGATGGTGATAAATTTTTATGAATCGTCGATTGAATACCCGGTCCAGGAGATTGTGATGCTGCTCCTCCTGCTCCTGCTACTCCCGATCCCGAATTCGTGGCAAACGGAATATGAGGTCTCTCATTATCGAACCCGAACCTGACGCTAAAAAAAAAAAAAAATTAAATTTTAATACATAAAATAATAGAAAATCGATTAAAAACGTGTCACGAGACTCCGTAACCTCTTTGTCTCTCTCGTAGAAAGTTTTTAAAAAAAAAAAGTTTTGATTAATGATTTTAAAAAAAAGAAATGAGAGAGAGAAAGAGAGAGAGAGAAAGATAGAATTTTAAATTTTCTGGAAACTAAAAAAGAAAAAGAAAAAAAATGTCACGGAACGTTATACAAAAGAATGTGAAAGGACATAAAAAATTTATTCATTTTTTTCTTTCTCCAGTTGTCCCCCCCCCCGTTTAACCTTCTTCATCATCATCATCATCATATTCTTTTGTTCTTTTCCATAATGAAAACCGTTAGCGTACGATTTCCTTTTTTTTTTTTTTTTTTATAAAACGGCGACAAGTTTTGCCACGATAAATCGTTTCTTCTGGAATTTATTATATAGTTTGTCCGAAAAAAATGTCTTTTGACACGGTTCAATCATGCATGAATGAAAAATTCTTTTCCGTTATTATTATTATTATTATTATTATTATTACGCACGTGCGTTGAAAATTTCATTTTCCATAAATGACGAGAAAAATAAAGTAAGGAATTGAAGAAGAAGAAGAAGAGAAACGAGGAAAAAGAAAAAACTGAAAGATAAAAAAAGAAAAATTTACATGACCAAAAAGGAAAATGATAATCAATCAATCAATCGATTTTAACATTTAACGGACACGTTTTAAAAAATGTAATTTTTTTTTTCTGGAATTCACTGGAGAAATAAACAAACAAACAAACAAAAAAGGAAACCGCCGGAAAAAACGGAAAAGTTTGATTTGATTTTCCTTTTTTTTTTTTTTTGGAAAAAATTGTTTTTGACAACTTTCGAACAAAAAAAAAAAAAAAAAGAAAATTTTTTTTTTCCAAAGTTTTTATTTGAGGTTCCAGGGGGAGGGGAAAGAGATAGAGGGAAGAGAGAAAGAGAGAGAGAAAACAACTGGAGAAAAAATTTCAAAGTGAAATTTAATTAAAAATTTTTCTCCATTTCCCAAAATAGTTGAAAAAGTTTTTTTTTTTTGTTATTATTAACAAAACAAAGAAAAATTTTCTAAAAAAAAAAAAAAAAAATGATTTCCTTTGATTATTTTCCTTTTGCACACAGTCTGGAAAACAATTTTATAAACGTATCAAAATAATAATAATAATAATAAATAAATAATTTTCCACCGTTTTGATTTCGTTAAGCGATTTAATTTTATTATTAATTTTCTCAAAAACACACACGCAAATAATAATTAATAATAATAGTAAAATTTTCCGATTTATTCGATATACGTCATTTCCTTTCGAACCGGAAGTAAGAGATTTTTTTTTTCGAAATTCGATATGACAACCGTTAACGAACCATATTTGATTTAGTGTAAAAATTAAAAAAAAAAAAAAATTTTCTATCCAGTTTCTTTCCAAAAATTTTTTTGTTGTTTTTTCCTTCATTTGGGCGACTTCCTGTCGGATTCGTAAAAGCCAAAAAGGCGCCAAATTTAAAAAAAAAAAAAAATTTTCTACTACTTATTCTACTAAATTCTTTTTACTAAATTTTCTCTACTTTTCCAAATTTTTCTCCATTCGTTTTCCACTCCTCTTTCCGGTTTCGAATTCACGTTTACCGAACAATTTTCGCTTATGCGTGGCAAATTTTTCAGGCATGCCAACTTTGAATTTTTTTTTTTTTTTCTTTTAGAAATTACGATTGGTAAAAGTCATATATGACTAAATAAATAAATAAATAATAATAATAATAATTATGATAAAAGTAATAATTAGACGGACGAAAAGAAGGGACAGCGAAAGACAGAGAGAGAGAAAGGAGGAAAAGAGAAAGAAGAAGAAGGAGTAGGAGGAAGGGGAAAAAATAGAAAAACTAATTAGTTTTTTTTTTTTTTTGGTTTTTTCCTCCTCCTCCTCTTTCTTCCTTTTCTTCTGCTAATGAGAGAAAGGTGTAAATGTTTGTTTGATATTCGTTCGAAATATAGAAAATGTCGACCTTTATCATAATTACTTCCCCGAAATTTTTTTCATACAAAACAAAAAAAAAAAAACGGTTAAAAACCAAAACGTGACGTCATCAAACTCGATTCGTGCGTTTTTTTTTTTTGTGGTTTAAAAAAATTTCAATTTAAAAAATTTATAATTTAATTCGAAACCGTTAATTGCGACTTGTGAAATATATTTTAAAAAAAAAAAAAACTTTTCCGGTCCTTTCTCTTTCCCTTTCCCTCTCTTTCTCTCTCTCTATTTCTTCCTCTCTTTTCACCACCTTATTAACGTAATTAAAGGTAAAAAAAAAAAAGAGAAAAAAAAAATTAACCTGTGAAATTTTTAAGTAATAATTACATTAAATTCGTTAAGAATAATTGACCATATTGTTCTTGCTCTCTCGTAGTGATTCCTTTTTAGAAAGTATAATAACGTTTAAAATGAGAGAGAGAGAGAGAGAGAGAGAGAGAGAAAATTAAAAAAAAAAAAAAGAGAAAGAGAGAGAGAGAAAAAAAAATTTTTTTTTAAAATCAAATGATGAAAATTTTTTAAAGGCTACAACAACAATTAATCGTTTTCGATTTTTTTACGCGGGGAAAATAAAAAAAAATTAAAAAATTATTTTCTTCTGCTTTGATAACCGTAAATAAACCCCCCTCCTCCTCCATCTTTTCCTCCTTCTCCGGGGGGAAGAAGGGGAAACCTAAATTTAACCGCAAATCACATATACATATATATAAATTTTATTTTTATTTCATTTTAAAATTCCGCGAATGCGATTTCGGTTCGATCAATCGATCGATCTATCGATTCATTTTTACACATTATTATCATTATTATTATAATTATTTTTTTACGACAAATCGATTCGTTTATTTATGTAAATTACAATCGGGTTGATTTTTCGACCGATACCTGTTTTATGTTTTACTTTTGCCCCAAAGTTAAAAAAAAAAAAAAAATTTAGGCTCCGAAAATTCAAAAACTTTTCGCGGTAATATTATCGATCGATATCAGAGAGAGATAGAGAGTGAGAGACAGAAAGAGAAAGAGAGAGGGAACAAATTTTATGTAAAAAAAAACGGGGAGTAAAATTCAAAAAAATTAAATAATTAAAATTTTTGGCAACAAACGATAATTTTTTTATTTATACATCGTTTATTTAAACATCGTTTAAATAAAAAGCAGAAGACAATCGATCAAAATGGCGTCGACGTCAAAAATTAAAAAAAAATATAAACTAAAAAATAATAATAATAATAAAAGAAAATGCAATTTTTTTTTTTTTTCGCGAAACGAAATGAAACGTGAAATTAATATTAATCGTAACGAATCGTGGGATTAGAAATCCAGCGGTTGCAAATATTTTTGGAGAATAATAATAAAAAAAAAAAGAAAGAATGGAAAATCAATTATACGAAAACTGGAGAAATTTCAATCGTTTTCTGATAAAATAATACGGATTTTATTAATAATGATAATGATAATGATAATAATAATAACGATTTTTCTCATGGGTCTCCGATAGTTTCGTTACGATTTCACCTTCCACGATATTCTACCTAACTATAGTTTTAAGCATTTTATAGCAAATTTGTCACTCATTATAGATATAGCACGCTTCACTAAATTTACAAAAAAGTTTAAACTCTTTTCCTCTCTCTCTCACTCTCTAACTCACTCACTCACTCTCTCTCTTTCGCTCTTTTTACAAACGTTTTTTATAACAATGAAAAAATAAGAAAGACAAAAAAGACAAAAAAACGAAAATTCTTTTTTCACGTTTAATAAATTTTTTTCGCTAAAAAGTTTCACAAAAAAAATAAAGAAAGAAAGGAAATTGTGTCGTCTGCTACTTGAGATTTATTACCAATATAAAAAAATAATAATAATAATAATAATAATAATAAAAACTAAAACTAAAGTCAATAAACTTACAAAAAAATATTCGATCTAATTAATTAAAATTGATATTCGTGATTTTGAATTTCAGGTGTGTCAGTCAGTCTGGTATGAATGAGAGAGAGAGAGAGAGAGAGAGAGACAGACAGTCAGACAGACAGATAGAAAGAGAGAGAG